CCCAAATGAAGAGTTCTGCTTCTCCTCCCCCGAGAATTTTGATAGGCACCAAAGGGCAGTAGTAATTGGTGATTTCAACAGCCATAGCCACGTATGGGGCTATGCCCAAGAGGACAAAAATGGAGAGGCTGTCCTCTTCTGGTCTGAACTGCACAAACTATCACTCATCCATGATAGCAAGCTCCCACCATCCTACAACAGTGGGAGATGGCACCGAGGTTACAACCCAGACCTCCTTATTTGTGAGCGACAGCATCGTGCAGCAATGCATCAAATCAATGGGACCACCAATCCCAAACACACAGCACCGACCAATAGTATGCCAACTGTTCCCAACTGTAAGGCCTCAGGAAGTTCGATTTAAATGAAGATTCAACTTCAGAAATTCTCAGATATGTTAGATGACATGATCACATCGGCCGCACCAATCCCTGAGGAATACGAGCATTTTATTGAAATCGTGAAAACCTGCTGCAGAGCCTGAAGAAGAGAAGGCTGAGAGGAGACATGAAAGCCATGTATAAATATGTGAGAGGAAGTCACAGGGAGGAGAGAGCAAGCTTGTTTTCTGCTTCCCTGGAGACTTGGACACGGAACAATGGCTTCAAACTACAAGAAAGGAGATTCCATGTGAACATTAGGAAGAACTTCCTGACTGTGAGAGCTGTTCAGCAGTGGAACTCTCTGCCCCGGAGTGCGGTGGAGGCTCCTTCTTTGGGGGTTTTTAAACAGAGACTAGATGGCCATCTGTCGGGGTGCTTTGATATGCAACATTCCTGCTTCTTGGCAGGGGGTTGGACTGGATGGCCCATGAGGTCTCTCCCCACTCTATGATTCTATGTAAGTAACCATATTCCCCCATTTAGATGGATTAAAATCACCAAATTAATTTTCAACCACAACGTTCCAAGCTTACAACCAACCAGATGGTCTGCAAATCATCATTCAGATTCTGCTAGGAATTTAACATGGGGATTAATGGAGGAAGCTCAGATAGTTGTTCATAATTTCCTTCTTTCCATTAAAGGGCTCCTTCTCTGGAGACGTTTAAACAGAGGCTGGATGGCCATCTGTCAGGAGTGCTTTGAATGCAATTTTCCGGCTTCTTGGCAAGGGGTTGGACTAGATGGCCCACAAAGTCTCTTCCAACTCTATGATTCTATTATTAAACCTTAGTGAATAGACTCAGTGCAAAATTATTCCTTTAACTAGCCGTCCCCTGCCACGCATTGCTGTGGCCCAGTCTGTTGATCTGGAAAATAAAGTAATGAGAAAGTGTTGGTTTCTAATATATGTAATTTCTTTATGCTTGTGGGTAAACAGTATTTCTTGCTGTTTCTTTGTCAGTGTTGATGTGGAGATTGTCTGGTTTGCCTACTCTGGAACATGCAACATATCATTGTCCTTCTTTAGGGGTCCCTTTCAAATCTATGATACTATATCTGTGTGTGTGTGAATCATATCTATCTATCTATCTATCTATCTATCTATCTATCTATCTATCTATATCTATGGCTGGATGGCTCTTTGTCAGGAGGGCTTTGATTATTTTCTTGCCCTGGTGAAGGGAGTTGGACTGGATGGCCTTAAGTATTTTCTGTTGGTCATGGGGGTTCTGTGTGGGAAGTTTGCCCCAATTCTGTGGTTTGTGGGATTCAGAATGCTGATTGTAGGTAAACTATAAATCCCAGTAACTACAAATCCCAAATGTCAAGGTCTATTTCCCCAAACTCCATCTGTGTTCATATTTGGGCATATGGAATATTTGTGCCAAGTTTGGTCCAGATCCATCATTGTTTGAGTCCACAGTGCTCTCTGGATGTAGGTGAACTACAACTCCCAAACTCAAGGTCAAATGCCCACCAAACCCTTCTAGTATTTTCTGTTGGTCATGGGAGTCCTGTGTGCCACGTTTGGTTCAATGCCATACTTGGTGGAGTTCAGAATGCTCTTTCATTGTAGGTGAACTATAAATCCCAGGAACTAAAACTCCCAAATGACAAATCAAAATTTTTGAGTGAAGGACATACATTGGGTTGTTAGGTGCATACTGTCCAAATGTGGTGTCAATTGGCCCACTGGTTTTTGAGTTCTGTTAATCCCACAAACGAACATTACATTTTTATTTATATAGATATCAAAACATACAGAAGAGGCTAAGAATTCGAAACATGTCTTTTCTCCAGGATAAACTAGATTAATTCTCACCTACATATTTTAAGAAACACCATGTGTCTTTGGAGACTGAATACACACACACATATACACAATTGTAATAGATTATCTATTATTTCTATGGGTTGTTGTAGGTTTTTTCGGACTATTTGGCCATGTTCTAGAGGCATTTTCTCCTGACGTTTCGCCTTCATCTATGGCAAGCATCCTCAGAGGATGCTTGCCATAGATGCAGGCGAAACGTCAGGAGAGAATGCCTCTAGAACATGGCCATATAGCCTGAAAAAAAACCTACAACAACCCAGTGATTCCGGCCATGAAAGCCTACAACAATAAATTATTTCTATGGTATAGATAGGACATTTAAATATTCACAGTAATCAGTATGCATGAATGAATAGAAAACAATTTATCAGTGATGCTTTATTGGCTCTTTCATAAAAGAAAACCCTATACCAAATACACTGAATTACATGATACATTTATTTATTTATTTATTTTATAATTCAAACTTATATGCCACCACTCCCCTGGGGCTCGGAGAGGCTTACAAGACCAGGCTAAAATCTAACACAATTTAAAAACAATTTAAAAACAACCATATCAGATGTTAGTCATGAATCAAACCCATTCCAACACTTCTCATCAAACTTCTCAATTAAATGTATTTTTAACTATGAATATACATGACAGGAAAGAGTTGCTTTAACAGTATGCACGAATGGATAAAAAAACAGAAATATCCTTCCCTTAATCTCCCAAGATATTATCACTTGTGTTTAATGAGATATTTCATCAAAGAAAATTGGTCAGGTTATTATTTTCCCCAAAAGCCACAGTTTTTTAACTCGGTGTTTCTTTGACACAGATTCATGCCCTCTTTGATATAAAACAAGGGAACTTGCCTTTACCCCATGGGTTGACTATTTCTTTCATGTGAGTTGACAATTAAAGCTTGTATTTCGACTGAAGCTCTTTCCAAACTCTGTTTTTCCTCCTGTATGAGTTTTCTAATGACAAACAAGACCTCCTTTATGACTGAAGCTTTTTCTTAGCATTTAAATGGCTTTTCTCCTATGTGAATTGCTTGATGGTGAATAAGGTGTTTCTTTTGATTGAAGTTCTTTTCACAATGCAAGCATTTATTTTTGGCCTTTCTCCTGTGTGAACAGCTTCATGATAAACAAGGTGCTTCTTATAACTGAAGCTCTTTCTTCACTCTGAGCATTTAAATGAAGGCCTTCCTTATGACTGAAGCTATTTCCACAATTCAAGGATTGAAATGGTCTCTCTCTTGCGTGAGTTTCCTGATGATAAACAAGGCTTCTGTTCTGACTGAAGTTCTTTTCACACTGCAGGTATTAAATTGGCTTTCCTCCTGTGTGAGTTGCCTGATGGTAGACAAGTTTTCCCTTCTGACTGAAGCTCTTTCCACACTCTGGGCATTTAAATGGCTTCTCTCCCGTGTGAGTTGCCTGATGACTAATAAGGTTTCTCTTGTGACTGAAGCTCTTTTCACACTGCAAGCATTTAAATGGCTTCTCTCCTGTGTGAGTTACCTGATGGTAATCAAGGCTGCTCTTGTGACTGAAGCTCTTTCCACACTCTGGGCATTTAAATGGCTTTACTCCTGTGTGAGTTGCCTGATGGTAATCAAGTCTGCTCTTGTGACTGAAGCTCTTTCCACACTCTGGGCATTTAAATGGCTTTACTCCTGTGTGTGTTGCTTGATGACTAATAAGGCTTCCATTTTGACTGAAGCTCTTTCCACACTGCAAGCATTTAAATGGCTTCTCTCCTGTGTGACTTGCCTGATGACGAACAAGGACATGCTTGTGACTGAAGCTTTTTTCACACTGCAAGCATTTAAATGGCTTTACTCCCGTGTGAATTGCCTGATGACTAATGAGGCTTCTCTTCTGGCTGAAGCTCTTTTCACACTGCAAGCATTTAAATGGCTTATCTTGTGTGTGAGTTGCCTGATGATGAATAAGGACATGCTTATGCCCGAAGCTCTTTCCACACACTGAGCATTGAAATGGTCTTTCTCCTGTGTGAGTTTTCTGATGACAAACAAGGCTTCTCTGTTGACTGAAGCTCTTTCCACACTGCAAGCATTTGAATGGTTTCTCTCCTGTGTGAGTTGCCTGATGATGAATAAGGACATGCTTGTAACTGAAGCTTTTTTCACACTGCAAGCATTTAAATGGCTTTACTCCCATGTGAATTGCCTGATGACTAATGAGGTTTCTCTTCTTACTGAAGCTCTTTTCACACTGCAAGCATTTAAATGGCTTTTCTCCTGTGTGAGTTGTCTGGTGATGTACAAGGTCTATCTTTTTACTGAAGCTCTTTTCACACTGCAAGCATTTAAATGGCTTTTCTCCTGTGTGAGTTGTCTGATGGTAAACAAGGCTTCCTTTTTGACTGAAGCTCTTTCCACACTGCAAGCATTTAAATGGCTTAACTCCTGTGTGAGTTGTCTGGTGACAAGCAAGATATGTCTTTCGACTGAAGCTCTTTCCACACTGCAAGCATTTAAATGGCTTCTCTCCTGTGTGACTTTCCTGATGACGAATAAGGACATGCTTATGACTGAAGCTCTTTTCACACTTCAAGCATTTAAATGGCTTCTCTCCTGTGTGACTTGCCTGATGACGAATAAGGACATGCTTGTGACTGAAGCTCTTTCCACACTGAAAGCATTTGAATGGTTTCTCTCCTGTGTGAGTTGCCTGATGATGAATAAGGACATGCTTGTGACTGAAGCTTTTTTCACACTGCAAGCATTTAAATGGCTTTACTCCCGTGTGAATTGCCTGATGGTAATCAATGCTGCTCTTGTGACTGAAGCTCTTTCCACACTCTGGGCATTTAAATGACTTTACTCCTGTATGAGTTGCCTGATGACTAATAAGGTTTCTCTTTTGACTGAAGCTCTTTTCGCACTGCAAGCATTTAAATGGCTTTACTCCTGTGTGAGTTGTCTGATGACGAACAAGGACTATCTTCTGACTGAAACTCTTTCCACAGTCTGAGCATTTAAATGGCCTCTCTCCTGTGTGAGTTGCCTGATGACGAATAAGGTTTCTCTTCTGATTGAAGCTATTTTCACACTGCAAGCATTTAAATGGCTTTACTCCTGTGTGAGTTGCCTGATGGCAAACAAGGTGTGAGTTCTCATTGAAGCTCTTTCCACACTCCAAGCATTTAAATGGCTTTACTCCTGTATGAGTTGCCTGATGACTAATAAGGTTTCTCTTTTGACTGAAGCTCTTTTCGCACTGCAAGCATTTAAATGGCTTTTCTCCTGTGTGAGTTGTCTGATGACAAAGAAGGCCTCCCTTCTTACTGAAGCTCTTTCCGCAGTTCAAGCATTTAAATGGTTTATCCCTTGTGTGAGTTGCTTGAGAAAAGGTAAGTGCTTCCTTACTACTGAAATTCCTTCCATCTTCCAAATATTTAAATCGTGTCTTCTCTATTTACATGGTTTGAGAACAAGGGAAGTGTGACCATGTGTTGAAAAGAAAAGGTTATATTAGCGTTAAAAAGGATACAAATAACAAAATGCATTTACACAAAGACAGCTCTTTCCCACAATCCTTTCCAACCCTGGCGGTTAAAAAAGAATTGTTTTGTTTTTGCTCGAAATATTATACCAGGATATATGTCTCAAAATAAATTATAATGCAACCAGGGCTTGGGAAAATAGAGTTGTTTCCTTAGCCCAAGTTTCTCTCGACTCTCCTGTACTTCTGACACAAGAAACCCTTGATTTGCCTGATGCCATGAATGTAGGTGAACTCAACTTCATGGCATCAGGCAGCAGAACAAACATCCAAATTCAGATTAGAAACCAGAATAAAGTTGCCATTTTAACTTCATTTCCTTTACTTCAGAGTTAATAGAGGCATGAAGCAAAACCTATTTTACATTGTTAGCTTCACAAGCATGTTTTATTTATTTATTTATTTATTTACTGTATTTGTATACCGCCTTTCTCAGCCAATTGGCGACTCAAGGCGGTTTCCAACAAATCAGTATACATAAAACATAATAGATAAAAAACATTAAACAGTATAAGACATCACAAAAGCAATAAAAGCAACATCATCAGTGTCTCATTATTCTCAAGCATTGTCCAATTCCATTGTCAGGTCATTTGATTTCCTATATTAGCTACTCTGTATTTGTAAACGCTTGCTCGAATAGCCATGTTTTAACTTGCCTCCAAAACGTCAAGAGGGAGGGAGCAGATCTCCCTAGGGAGGGCATTCCATAGCCGAGGGGCCACCACTGAGAAGGCCCTGTTTCTCATCCCTGCCAAACATGCTTGTGACGAAGGCGGGACCGAGAGCAGGGCCTACCCAGATGATCTTAAAGTCCTCAGTAGTTCGTAAGGGGAGATACGTTCGGACACGTAAGTTGGGCCAGAACCATTTAGGGCTTTTTAGGCCAAAGCCAGCACTTTGAATTGATTACTTTTTCTGTATGGAGAAATAGTTATATTATGTGTTTCAGCAATGTTGTAACTTGTCTTGAGCTCTGAGAAGAGGAGGAAAAGGAATTTTTAAATTATTATCATCATTATTATTCTGCATTAAGATCACTCTGACCAAAAGGTCATGAGTTCGAAGCCAGACCGGGTTGGAGTGGGCTTCCAACCCATTGTGTAGCCTGTTGTCGACCTTTGCAACCCGAAAGACAGTTGCATCTGTCAAGTAGGAAAATTAGGTACCACCTTGTGTGAGGAGGCTAAATTAACTAATTTATGAGGCCATAAAAAAGACTCCAGCAAAGCACTCCAGCAAAGCATGCGGGGAATGCGGAAGTACTTCATCAGTGTCGCAGATGGATGATTAAAGCGACAGCTCCCCTGGCGGCCAGAAAAAGTTAAATAGCCTCTGTGTATGTCTGTATATGTTGTATGTTAAAATTGGCATTGAATGTTTGCCATATATGTGTACACTGTAACCTGCCCTGAGTCCCCTGCGGGGTGAGAAGGGCGGAATATAAATGCTGTAAATAAATAAATAAATAAATATTATTTGCTGCCATGGCACCACTGGCTGCCAATTTGTTTCCAGACACAATTCAAATTTCTGGTTATGACCTCTAAAGTCCTAAATGGCTCAGGTCCAGGCTATTTGGTTCACTGTATCTCCTTGTGCAAACCTACCTGGGTGCTAGAAGCCGTTGTCTCACTCCCACCACCATCACAAGCATGGTTGGTGGATGGAAAATAACCACTGCCTAGAATTCATCTAATGTGGCAATGCCACCCAACTGTCTTCTTGTGCTGGCCCCTATATGTTTGTGGAATGAGCTTATTTTCTATGGCGGAAGGGATCTGAAACACTGGATAATTTTTACAACTTGCAGACAGCTTTGGCTAACCACAAGCATAAATGAAGCTTTACCCAGAGATGACACAATTCCTAAGTTTTCCTCCATGATTTGCTGGTGCAAGGCTTTTTGGCTTGGATCCAAGAGAGCCCACTCCCCCTCCGAGAAATCCACAGACACATCTTCAAAGGTCACCTGAAGGGGAAAAAATGTTATCTACGAGGAGAAAATGCCACCCAAGTTGGCCATATTCAACGGACGAGGAGATTTAACCTCCCTTCCCCTCCAGGGATCCTGCTGCCTACCTGATCTGGTCCCGCAGAATCTCTTCTTAGGAAAGAATCAGGAAAACTTGTGCTACTATCACTTGGCCATGTTTCACTGCCTGTGAAAGAGAGGAAAGACACCAGGGAGGGTGAGATTGCCTCTTTTTCTGGCTGCCCCACCATTCCTTCCCTCAGAAGTCTGCCATTCTCCCTTTGTCCCACGGCCCTTTTAATAAACTCTCTCCTTGGATTTCGGTCCCAGGTCTTCAATGTGGACTATTTTGTTTTATGGGTATGTTGTGACCTAATCCGAATAAATGTAAAGAGTTAACTGTATTAGTTTCTGTATTTCTGCAAGGAGCATATTCACCACTGTAAGCATCCAGAGAGAAGGAAAGGAATTATGGCACAAAAAAGTCTTGTAGGGAAATATCTCCTCTCAGTGGTTATTCTTAAGATCCCAGGCTCCCCACTTTTTTTCCCAATTCACACAGCTCAGACCTTTCAGGTCTAATCAGGATGAAGTGACCAAGCAAGAAGGACCAATGCCCATTACTTACCAACTGTGATATATTCTCCTTCTTCTCCAATCTGGACGACCCAAATGTGTGACTCCTCCACCTGACTGGTCTCACCTGCAACAGAGTCCTGCACCTGAACAAGCAGCACAGATCACAAAAGAAAAAGATAGATTAGAAAAGGAGGGAGGGGTCTCCTTCTGCAACCTGTTCCAGACCAATTAAAGAGAGATATTGACTCTTCATCTTGGAAAGAAGTGACAAGCGGAGTGCCGCAGGGTTCCGTCCTGGGCCCGGTCCTGTTCAACATCTTTATTAATGACTTAGATGAAGGGCTAGAAGGAATGATCATCCAGTTTGCAGACGACACCAAATTGGGAGGGATAGCCAATACTCCAGAGGACAGCAGCGAGATTCAAAACAATCTTGACAGATTAAAGAGATGGGCCAAAATTAACAAAATGAAGTTTAACAGTGACAAATGCAAGAGACTCCACTTTGGCAGGAAAAACGAAATGCAAAGATACAGAATGGGGGACAATGCCTGGCTCGAGAGCAGTACGTGTGAAAAAGATCTTGGAGTCCTCGTGGACAAGTTAAACATGAGCCAACAATGTGATGTGGCGGCAAAAAAAGCCAATGGGATTTTGGCCTGCATCAATAGGAGCCTAGTGTCTAGATCTAGGGAAGTCATGCTCCCCTCTATTCCGCTTTGGTTAGACCACACGTGGAATATTGTGTCCAATTCTGGGCACCACAATTCAAGAGAGATATTGACAAGCTGGAATGTGTCCAGAGGAGGGCGACTAAAATGATCAAGGGTCTGGAGAACAAGCCCTATGAGGAGCGGCTTAAGGCGCTGGGCATGTTTAGCCTGAAGAAGAGAAGGCTGAGAGGAGATATGATAGCCATGTATAAATATGTGAGAGGAAGCCACAGGGAGGAGGGAGCAAGCTTGTTTTCTGCTTCCTGGAGACTAGGATATGGAACAATGGCTTCAAACTACAAGAAAGGAGATTCCATCTGAACATTAGGAAGAACTTCCTGACTGTGAGAGCCATTCAGCAGTGGAACTCTCTGCCCCGGAGTGTGGTGGAGGCTCCTTCTTTGGAAGCTTTTAAACAGAGGCTGGATGGCCATCTATCAGGGGTGATTTGAATGCAATATTCCTGCTTCTTGGCAGAATGGGGTTGGACTGGATGGCCCATGAGGTGTCTTCCAACTCTATGATTCTATGATTGGACTGAGTAACTTAAGACAGTATATCTGTGATTTCAGGTCCGTGTTGAGTTATCTCTACCTGTGAATAACATACAGTTTCTTAGGGAGGGTTCAGCCAGATGCTTGCTCTGAAATACACACCACTGGAATTCTCAATACATTCCTTTTAATCTTCAAAGTTTACCACCCTATAACTTCAGATCATTATACCTGGTTATACCACCCTGGGGAATGGAGAGGACTGCCCCCTCCACTTCGTGAGAGCCGAAGGGGTGTGTGTGTGCAAAGGGGGCAGTCATGGCACTCCAAGACTGTATTCCAGGGTGAACACACCTGGGTCCTCCTTTTCTAACCCTTCTCTGAACTCGTTCCAACTTGTTTGTATTATTCTTAAAGTTAGCTACCTGAAACTGAATTCTTCAAAACAATTACTCTTGGTTCCTTGAAATACAAGAGGAACCTCTCTCACACACACACCTGAGGCTGCTCCTGCTTCCTCTCCTCTTCCTGACTCAGGAGGAAGCCTTCAGCCAAGGCCACGGCCTGGGAGCTGGTCTCTGCCCCACATTCCCTCACCCAGCGCTCCATCTCCGCAGGAAGGACGGCCAGGAACTGCTCCAGGATCACCAGGTCCAGCATCTCCGCCTTGGAGTGTCGCTCGGGCTTCAGCCACAGGCGGCAGAGAGAGTGGAGGCGGCTGCAGGCCTCTCGGGGCCCCAAGGCCTCCTCATAGCGGAAATGCCGGAAGCGCTGGCATTGAAGGTCTGAATGGAGCAGAGTGCTCTCATGGGCTTTCTCCCAAGGGTCCTTCCAGAGTGCTCCATTTTTCTCTGCCTCAACAGCAGAAGAATATACTTCTAAGTGGGCAGCAGCTGGCTCTTGCCCAACCATCTTTGTTCTTCACTTCTAGGCTGCCTCCAACCTGGATGAAGATGTGTTCCC